CAGCTCGAGTCCTGACAAGAACCAGGAAGTACGACCACATTAGTCCAGTCCTCAGGTCTCTGCACTGGCTTCCTGTGGCTCAGAGAATAGACTTTAAAACAGCTCTGCTTGTGTACAAGTCTATCCATAGCCTCGCACCAAAATATATTAGTGACATGTTAGTCCCATATGAACCAGCCCGGACTCTGAGGAGCACAGGGACTGGACTCCTGTTAGTGCCCAGAGTCAGAACTAAACATGGGGAGGCTGCTTTTCAGATTAATGCTGCTAAAATCTGGAACAGTCTTCCTGAAGATGTGAGACAGGCCTCCTCTCTGACAATGTTTAAAACCAGGTTAAAGACGGTTCTGTTTAACTGTGCATACAACTGAGGGATTTTATATTTTTATCTTTCTTTTTAATGTTCTGTGATAATTTATGATTTTAATGCTTTCTTGTTTTGTTCAGCACTTTGAATTGCCTTGTGTATGAATTGTGCTATATAAATAAACTTGCCTTGCCTTGCCTTGCCTTGCCAGGAGGATCAGTGAGGGGCTGGTGCTCTGTGTACTGGGTGCAGCTCTGACTGCCACCCCTCAACCCAGAAATGGATTGAGGGGAAGAAAATGAATGGATGGAGGGTTCTCGCTCTAGTTTTCATGCATGTATTTTTTGGTCACAACTTTAGATGAGACCACCCTCACTCACCCAATCTGCACTCAGTATGTAAAATGTTTCCTAATGACAGCATGTTAATGTTTTGAAGACATTTGATCACAAAATTCTTTACGCTTTAAGAAGTTGAATACAAGAAGTGCAACAATCGTCAAAAACTAACCAAGATTGTTCTTGTTTTAAGATGTTTTGAGAAATTTCAACACAGTATCTCTCATTTCAAGTAATATTTTTTGCCAATTTGGTGAGAAAAAAACCCACTGGTAAATCATTTGTGTAAATGTATTCTCTATAATTGAGGCTAATGTGTATAGTATATTCTTGAATTGTCTTTGACTATATTAAAATAAAAGGACCAAAATCAAAAACGAACTCAATGACCACATAATATGACTGGATATAATTGTTTGTGGTGTGCTTTTAGATTTTTATTATGATAATGTGTAGTTAGTTTCATATATAATTATAAATGTGGTTTTGGGGGGGTCTGTGGGGAGGAGGGTTTAGGGCTGGGCATGTTGGATTGTTTTTAACTAAACTGTAAAGCACTTTGTGTTACATTTTTTGTATGAAAAGCGCTTTATAAATAAAATTTGATTGATTGATTGATTGATCAATCAACTATTGCCTTGATTTGAAATGTAAAGTATAGGATTTCTGAACCTCTGAGAACATTCACTAAATAAGTTTGTTTTGAAAGTTAAGAGACGAGTCCTTTGCACACCTGTTCCTTGCAACAGGTGCGTAGGTTTTCAAACATCGCTGGCACTCCCACACACTGACTGGCAGGCATTTTCAGTTTTCTACCACAAAATGTTTTACTGACTTAGAAATAAACATGACAATTGAAAGTTATTTTGTGTGGGAGTTGAACAATGTTTTTGGGTTTGGCGCTCCATTAGGCCTCAAATTTGATTTGAACAAGTGCTAAAAATTCTTGCTTCATGTTTTTTGTCAGACGACAAAAAAATAAACGTGATGCAAAAATGTGCATGTGTAAACGTTGTGTGTCAAACAGTGTTGGGCACGTTACTTTGAAAAAGTAATTAGGTATAGTTACTAGTTACTTCTCCCAAAAAGTAACTGAGTTACTAACGGAGTTACTCCACTATAAAAGTAACTAGTTACCAGTAAAAGTAACTATTGCGTTACTTTTTCGTTTTGTTCTGGAACATAATGTGCACCCGACGTGCGCATTTTTACCTTTAACAGTGCCAATATTTCCATCTAGAAAAGGCTGTTTTGCTGCTGAAGTCCTGTTCACTCTTCATCTCTGTCTGTGCTGTAAGCACTAAACACCAACACCCGCCACTGTGAATGTGGAAACACCGGTGACGAGCGGTGAGGCTGGTGAAGCACTGACTTCAGTCCAATCAGATGAACATATAGCGTTACATCATATAAATCAAGTGGACAATTTGTTTGGCTACAGCAAAATATGTTTTATGCCCGCATTGTTTGTTCATACAAAACGCAAAACTATGAGTTATGGGTCTTACCTTATAAATGACCTGCACAGGCCACTTCAGTTCAGACCAGTTCCTTGATTAAATCCAGTTAATGGTTTGAGCGTAAATATGTAATCCTCCATTTGGAAATGAGTCCAATGAGTTTTAAAAAGTAAAACAAAACGCGTGTGTCCTCCATAAACTCCTGTGTTTTGCCAGCGGCAGCCGAGTGCATCCAATTTCTAAAATCAACCGTCTTACACTTCACCTCTCTTTCTTATCATTCCTATAGTAATTGAAAAAATACCCTATGTGCATTTTAGATTATGTAAAAATGTGTTATATGTATGTTAGCCAAACCTGTTGCTGTCCTTAGCAGATAAACCAGGAAGAGCAAGGAGCTTATCGATGGAATTGTATGCAGCCGACTTCTGCGCTCACATGCGCTACTCTGTGGCTGACCTCACGGTGATACAAGCCGTGGTTGAGCGCGATTAAGACCCATATTTGTTTCAAAAACACAATTTATGAGCCATCCTCTCAACTGTAGACATGTGGATTGTAAAGGAAATATGATTTATATCAGCCAATAATTGCTGAGAGGTTTTCTCATCCTCCCTTCTCTCATGACAACACGTTCATTGTGCGTCTTGAGTAACGCGCAGTAACGGGATGTCGGAAATGATAACGGCGTTATAGTTACTGTCAAAGTAATTAGTTAGATTACTTGTTACTGAAAAAAGTAACGGCGTTAGTAACGCCGTTACTAGTAACGCCGTTATTCCCATCACTGGTGTCAAATGCATACACTCCCAGCATTTTGAATCATAATTTATACTGGGTACGTAACTATCTAGTACCAATTAAAATGTTATGAACAGATCAGACCTGGTTGATTTTATTAGAAAGAGCCACATGAGTCACTATTTGCTGCTTTGGGCCGAGAGCTGAGAGCTGATTTGATGGTGATCTTCTCGTTGTCACTTCTGCACCTGAAAAAGCTAATCCAAAGATGTCACAGATAAATGTGAAAACTAGTGATAGAAGCAAAAAGTGAAGACTTTGTTGAATTTGAACTTGAACTTGGACTTCATGGCATAGATAGGTACTCCAGATTTAATATCTTAAAAGAAATTGAGAGGGCAATGATTACAATTGTGTGTACGGTTAGAAATACATCAGGTTGGTGAAGCAGAGGTCCCATTGAAAAACGATGGAAATAAATACTGAGAAAATACATGTGTTGGAGAAAAGTGAAACTATTATGCTTTAAACAGTCAAAGTAAATGACTCAATAGAACTGCATTGTGTACCTGATATAACCTTTCCAATTTAATAACTTGGAAAAAAAGATTGCTTGACTCCCTGCAGCGTTCCACATAAACAAAAGCAAACATACTGTCTGTCACTAATACATTTTCTTGTTAAGATTGTTGTTTGTTGTTTTTACTCACTGCTCCATGGAGAGAAAACTCAGCTCTTCTTTTCCCAGTTTGGGCAAATAAACTTGGATAAATAAGCAGAGTGTAACTTTCTATGATAACAGCTTTTGTTTTTGGAGGTTTGTGTGCGCCAATCATCTGTGCTCTGGCTTCTGCTTTATATTAGCGCTCAGGTGCAGTCGCTTGGAAATACAGGGTTCATTTTGTGCCTTCAGAACACAGGATTTTCTGCAAGTATTGTCGGCTTGGATAAATGTAACTGCCACAGAATCCACGGGTCGCTGTATGGTTTTAGGTTTTATTGTATTTTCTTCAGGGGAAGTAATGTTGGTTATTATTCTTTTGAGAGTGTCAACGGCATCGTGGTTTCATTATTTATATATATAAAAAAGCTAGGAGTGAAAATAATATTGTCAAATGTTTCAGTGAATCAGGCATTTATTATTAAATTATAGACTCTTCATTATTTTATATGTTTGGGTAGATTTGGCAGCACAGCCTTTAACAGCACAGATGCCACATGTCACCATATCCATGGCAACCAGGGATTTATTAATGTATATTGTGAAGACAACACAAATTCAAAGAAGTTCTGCCTTGAATGACCATCAACAAAAAAATTTAAGAATATAAAAAATAAAATAGTCAAGAAAATATCCAGTATCCATTTCCTTTTCTTATGTGCAGCTGAAACAAATGCAATTACAAGAGCATTCAACCGTCATTATTACAAAAGTCTTAATTGCAATTTTGACTTTGCAAATGGACTAGGTACTGCATCTATTTGAGCCTGCCACACGAATTTAGATACGGGGGATATTTTATACAAATGTATGCGGTTCAGTATAAAACAAAGTCTTTTGGCCCCTTATCTACTGTAATGCTCTGCCTAATATGAACAAAAATACAACACTGTTGGTGCACTTATATTCCATTTATTGAAGATTGATTGTTGTTTGCCATACGGTTGGCATACTGCCAACGTTTGTAAAAGCACATTGGATTTTCATATTTTAATTTACTTTCTATCCTCGACCTGCGTGATTTTTTTTCTCAGAATCATGTTTCTGTTTGCAATGTCTATTAAAATATCAACAATGTAAAAAAGTTCTAACAAAAAAATAGCACACACAACATAAAAAGCTCACATAAACTTAAGGGCTGTTAAATACTTGACACAACGTTTGCATGAGAGAGTGTTGTCCTTGTGTGCTGTCATTTATAAAGTGACAGCGGACTGATCCATGCTCTCAGGGACCAGACAAAGGCGTTGCCACAAATCCAAATGACACCATTAACTCATCAAACGCAACAGAATCTGCCATTCAGCCATTTACTGAAAAACCTGCTTGGCCATTAGCTCGTTCAACATCAATAATACCCTTCTTGATGAGGGTGGATGCTACACTCAACATGCACACACACATAGAGGAGCATAGGGAGGAAGGGGGGTCACCTGGGGGGGCCCGGAACAGGTGTCCCTCTTGCACGGGCGGCTGACTTTCCCCGCACCGCCGCTGGTACTTTGGCGTCTTCGGAGCCACCGTTCAGGTATGTGAGTTCCTGCAGCTGGGCTTGTCTGATCTCATCGTTGTAGTCCTGTACGCGCGCACACACACACACACACACACACAAAACAGACACACACAACATGGCTTTCAATTACAGAGGATTCAATTACAGGCTTTATCTACAGGCACACAGCCCCGGGACTATGTAATTAATGTACTTTACAGCAACGGCGTGACTGCTGCTACTCCCAGCCGCAAAATATTGGGATATTAAACTGATAAAAATCCTCAATACCAGGTTTCTTATGTTATGATACTGACGCTAATCTGAAATAATGTATGAGAGGTGAAGCCCCCTGACTCACTGTTCCTTTTTTTGGACATTGTATTTAGAACTGTCCACAGCGAGAGCAGACGGTTTATAAGAAAGTACTGCCAACATTTAAAAAGGCACGTTGGATTTTCATATTATATTTTACTTTCCGTCCTCAACCTCCATGCGTTTATGTGTTTTCACGTTTCAAATATTGATTGTTGAGAAATCCTCTCAGAATCATGCTTCTGTTATGTTATGATACTGAAGCTAATCTGAAATAATGTGGTGAAAATAAAAGGTGTCAGGGATTTCATAGTTTTCTTAGTCTTAATCTAACCTTGCAGCAACAGTTACAAATGTGAAATAAAAAAATATCGGAATGCACTGGCATCAGATAATGGTTTGATTTTATTGGATCCAAGGCCTTTTATTGTTCACAAATTGTTAACCAAGAAAGTATTTGAGTTTTTAGAAAATTGCAGGAAAAACAAGACACAATTAGACTTAATACAATTAGACCAAATGCATAAACATTTAATTGTGATTCCAGGGGAAAACACATTCAGTTTCTTCTCTAATATCGGGTATTTGGGTATGGGCAGATATTGAAAGGCGAGGTATTGGGATTGGTTCTGCATGTTAGAACTGTGCCATTTATCTTTCAAAGAAACACCACAAAGTTCCCTGGATCAATATCTACCTGATTCATAGTCATACTACATTGATTAAAGATCAAACAGGATAGTGGCTTAGTTGATATGACTCCCAGAGCAGGCTCCCACTGAAGTCTGTTGTCGTTGTGTCCCTGGGCAAGACAATTAACACTTTGCCTGAAGCCCCCTCTGAAAGACCAACCTGAAGGACCCACCACCTGCAGGATGATCAGTGAGGGGCTGGTGCTATGATGGGTGGCAGCTCCAATTGCCACCCCCCAACCCAGAAATGGACCAAAAAAAGGGATGAAAAGGAATGAATTATATTATAGAGCCATTTCAGGATCATTATCCTGGATCAGCTGAAGCCCTCATGAGAGTCTCCCTAAAGAAGGACCAGAAAAAATTGTCTCCATGCTGAAATTTGTTTGACAACTTTACAAACTTGTTTTGTAGTGGCTCTAAAAAGAAAAAAATCTTAAGAAACATGGTAGAACATCACGTCTTCTGATATATAATGACCTTTTTACTTATTTGAATCCTATGGGAGCCATTAATCATACGGCTATTGACTGATGTGATTGGTGTGTGTCGCTGAATCAATACATGTATTCTATAAACAGCGAAGCGGAGGCTGAGTGTGCTTATAATTAATCATGAGATGTAAATGATCATAGCTGTGAGCAAGGGGCAGGTCATACATTATAAATGGGGGAAGAACACTGCTTGGGAGCTGAAGAGCTGTGGCCCTTGTGTAGACGCTATCTCCTCTTGTGTAGACGCTATCTCCTCTTGTGTAGACGCTATCTCCTCTTGTGTAGACGCTACCTCCTCTTGTGTAGACGCTACCTCCTCTTGTGTAGACGCTACCTCCTCTTGTGTAGACGCTACCTCCTCTTGTGTAGACGCTACCTCCTCTTGTGTAGACGCTATCTCCTCTTGTGTAGACGCTACCTCCTCTCGTGTAGACTCTATAATCTCTTGTGTAGACGCTCTCTCCTCTTGTGTAGACGCTATCTCCTCTTGTGTAGACGCTATCTCCTCTTGTGTAGACGCTACCACCTCTTGTGTAGACGCTTTCTCCTCTTGTGTAGACGCTACCTCCTCTTGTGTAGACGCTACCTCCTCTTGTGTAGACGCTACCTCCTCTTGTGTAGGCGCTTTCTCCTCTTGTGTAGACGCTACCTCCTCTTGTGTAGACGCTACCTCCTCTTGTGTAGACGCTACCTCCTCTTGTGTAGACGCTACCTCCTCTTGTGTAGACGCTAACTCCTCTTGTGTAGACTCTATAATCACTTTTTTAAATAGTATGATTCATCCTTGAAGCTGGGGTACCTATTTTTGATACATAATGGGGCATTTTCTTTGACCCAACATATAATGTAAAATGTTGTTAACAAATCAGACCACAACATGCTCTCTTGATCTCATTACAAAACATTTCATATTTTGCATATTTATACGAAAGAGCCCTGTGAGTCACTCGTTTTGACTGAGTGAGGGTGGAACTCTTTTTTTTCTTTCTGTCTGATGAACCAGAGACAAAAAAAAATACATGCATGTGAAATCTAGAGACAGAACTGTGTACTACTTGAACTGTACTTGAGAGCGAAGAACTACAGTAGTTAGGTGGATTTTGTTGTGGTTTGAAAATTAGGTAGTCCAGCTTTAAGTCAAGAAATGTATAATTGCAAAGATATTAAATAAGTACTGTAGAAAGCTATTTTGCCAATGAGACATTTGCTACGAGATACTTAAGCCTGTGGGGATTGATAAAAGAAACATACTGGTATTAGAAACTTCTTGATCTCCTCCAGGGCGTGTCCCATTCTGGCGTAGGCTTCTGCAGGCGGGGCGAACACCTCAATGAGGACGTGCAGGTCTTGGTTTAGATGCTGGTATTTGGCTTCACCGCTTTGCCGTAGTTCCTCTTCCTGAAATACAGAGAGCAAGAATGGTAAATACTGTATAATGAAAGACAACACTAATATCACTAGTGTTCCTTCAGACAGAGCAAGGCAAAGCACGTTTTTTGTATAGCATAGTTCATACACAAGGTCTCTCAAAGCGCTTAACTAAACACTAAAATTACAGTACATTAGAAATATACAGTACTTAAGTCATATGGTCAGCTAAACAAAACTGTTTTTAACCTGGATTTGAACGTTTCTCGAAGATTTTCCAGATTTCCACTGCATGAATATGAAACACCCTTGTTTAGTCCTGACTCTGGGCACCAGCAGAAGGCACTTACAGGATACTTTTTGTTACACATCTGACATGAAAAAAACTACTCAGAAACATGAAATCTTCATTGTGAACTCTGAGACGATAATGGGACTGGATAGGCATAACAAAGTGAGTGCACCACCTCAAACAATATAATCTGTTCGAAAAATTTCAGTCAAGCTTCCGGTCAAACCATAGTACAGAGACAGCCCTGGTCAGGGTCACCAGTGACTTCATGGTGGCTTCTGACCAGGGCGCTCCGTCATTACTTCACAGTCACATTCGATACCATAGAACATTTCAATTCTCCTTCATCACTTTTAAACAATAATTGGCCCCTCTAGCACAGCTGAGATGGTTTGGATCCTATCTCACAGAGAGAGTATGTGGCCTTGGGGAAAATCTAAGACTTGCACAGTCTCCTGTGGATTCCAAAAGGGTCGGTTCTAGGGCTGACCTTCTTAAACATCTTTATGCTCCCCTTGGGCTACGTCATCAGCAGGCATGGAGTGTTCTTCCATAGCTATGCCGATGACACTAAATGAGATTAGACCCAGCCTCTTCTTTATCCACCCCTGCTGCACTCACCTCCTGCCTGGAGAAGATCCAGGTGTGGATATAACAGAACTTCCTCCTGCTAAACAGCACAAAAATAGGAGCACTCCAAATTGGCACTACCCATCAACTTTGTTCTGTCTGTAAACTTCTGTTTCTTTGGCCATACCCATCAACCCTTCCTCGTGCGTTTACAAACCTTGGAGTCAGTTTTGAGTCCTACCTCACACTTTTCATTCACACATCCAACATCTCTACAAAACTGCCTACTTTCATTTGAGAAACAATGCCAAACTCTGCCCCTCTCTTTCCCTCTGTGATGCTGAGAGCCTGGTCCATGGCTTTGTCCCAGGCTCTCCGCGTCAGGATTCCTGGCAGAAGCCTTCAAAAGGTTTAACATATTCAGAACAGTGCTGCCAGGGTCCTGACAAGGACGAGCAAGTTTGAGCACATAACCCCCGTCCTCCGAAAACTCTACTGGCCCCCCATAAATCTCTGTATTGAATACAATATTTTCCTCTTCACTTACTAATGCATTCAAGGTAACGCTGAAGATCACATAAAGATCCCTCCGTTCCACAAACACCTACCACCTACATTTGTGGACAGGCAGCTACCATCTCAATCAGCTTTGTTCCATAGGGGACAGGACTTTTTCAGCAGCACCTCCACACCTGTGAAACTCTCTGCCACAAGACTTGCCTCTGTGGGGGGCTTTAAAAAGCCCCTTAATACACACTTTTTTTGCAGTCTTATACTTGTTTGTATTCTGTTTAGATTGTGTTATAATTTGCTGTAGCAACTGTTAGAGAGACACTTAACAAAAGCTATGTATAATTTTTCTTAGGATCGGTTTGCACCACTAACTGTATAATAGTAAAAATAATAATAATAGTAATGCATTTTATTTAAGCAGCTTACATACGCAAACACATTGCGTGAACACATCTAGGTGCTACAGCAAGGTAAAACACAATCAAAACAGAATACAAACAAGTAAGTCTGTACGGTCAATCCAAAGGAATATAGGATAATAAACCACATGAGATACAGTAAGTTGGATATAAAAATGTAAATAAAACAGGTCCTAAATATCAGAGAAGCCCAGACCTCCCTCTTATTCGGGGATATCCTGAAGTGTTCCCAGGCCACCTGCATATTTTTTGGAAATTGACAAGATGGAAAAGAATAGATTTTTGCCACACTTTAATACTTTTTTGCGTTGTGCACTAAAATGACCTTCGAATCTCAAAAGTGCTCCATGATGGGGAAATAAATAATGTAAAGACACGCTGACAGAAAACAGGAGATAGTGAGCTAAATATATGAGAAACTCACAGGAGACAAACAACCACATACCAGTAGTACGCCACTTCTATTCCGCTGCTGTTGGCATCTTTATAAATAGTCCTCACATTGATAAGCACACTATACAGTTGCTTGACACAGTAACACTTCCTGTACACATCTTGGTCGGGGCATGAGCCTGTATCATATTGTCCTATCTGGTCACACTTCAAAATACTTACACTCATATTCTTATTATTCTAGATGTAGGCAGATCTCATTTTAAGACATAGTGAACCATTTAAAGACGGTATAGCTTGGAATGAGACAATACTTTTGACAGTTACTGTAAGTATTTCTTCTTACGACATTGGTTGAATTTTTTAGCTTAAAATAAGAAATAATGCGTTGAAATCTGTTGAAATAGAAGTTAGAAAAGAAAAGTGAGCAGACTTTCCCCAAAAGGAGCACTTCCATTTCGTATACTAATAATTAGTTCCTTGTCCCACTATGGAAGTTTCCTGAAATGTGTAAACGTTTTTTATTAAGAGTTTGCTAACAACTTTCACTAATTCTTACAGTGAGTTGGGTCTCGTCCCCTAGTGACATCACTCGCTTGTATCCAATGTAGATGGATAAGTTTAATGCAACACTATGGAACAATCCAGCAAAAACAATATGAAGGGTGCGCTCTCCTCAGGCTACCAGACATAATCGACAATATCAGACCACTGCAAACGCAATAATCCTCTCATGAACTGAAACAACACAAGAATGTTCACAACACAACACAAGAATGTTCATCAACCAGGAAAACAATGAAAAAAAAAGAAAAAAGGAAAAACTACTTGGCCAACTTGGTCTACTTTACTCAGCTCTACTCTACCCCGATAGGGAACGTTTCCACCGGTCCTGTTTAACCAATACCAGGTACACTTTAGTACCAAGCCGAGCTGGTACTAAAGTGTTCTAATACCGGTGCTAGTGGAAGCCATGGTTATCAAGGAATTTCCCTGGATATCTGTTTGTTGTTGTAGCTAGGATACAGTATCAGACACTTAAGCGTAATGGAAACTCAGGAGAGCCAAGTAGAGTACAGTACAAAGAAAGGCCAAGTTGGGCCGGTGGAAACGGGGCTTAATGAATCAAGATGAGGACGCGTTCCAACTCTCTCAAGCGTAGGACAGACTGGTCCAGGGACCACCAGCTGGCGAGGGATGGACTTATACACCAGGAAGAGATGGAAACTAGCTGTTTAGCTATAAACTGGTGCAAAACATGTCTGTCTTTGAGCTTAATGTCTCTGTACATTGTTCCTTCAAATAAAGACTAAATAAATAAATACAATAAAATGTGTCCTCTGCTCAGTGTATGTATGCGCTTTTTAAATAAACCACTGAAAATAAAAACATAACTCATAAATAATAATAAAAAAAACTACAGAACTGCCTCTTCTGGCTTTTGAATGTTTTACTATTGAGAACAATATTCAGCTGAAACATGAGAATTTGTATTTCTATAGAGATATAAAACTAGCAAAAGCTCTGTTGGCATCATGTCAAGAAGTGAATAAAAACAAACAAGTAACCCTTCAAATCATAAATCATCTTTGGATTTCCGGGAGATTTACTGAGAAGAGTTTTACATAATGAGGTGTGATACTCGGGTGCGGAGAAGTTGAGAGTAGACAAACAGAAAAATATTGGTATGTCTGCAGTGCATCTGTATCCGGAGAAGGCTGTCATATGTGACTGATTACTTTAGTCCTCTCGCAGCTGCCTGGCGGCCAAACAAACGTGCCGTTGAGCAGCGCTTCATCATCATATCTGCTGGATGCCTTTGGTGTCATGATTCTTCCGCTGTAACTTTGTCAAAAAGCGAGTGGTCTTTTTGGAAAGTCCATAAAATAAACTTAACCACTGGAAATATTGAATTATGGTGCCGTAGGTTATGGAATAATCTCTTAAAATCGACAGACTAAAGGGCTTGTATTTCTTTCAATTCTACTACATTTGAACATAGACATGCACTCTGTTGGGAGACTGAAAGCATTGAGAGTAGTTTGCAATAGTGGATTAACTTTCACTATAGTTGTTGTAATATGATTATTATTTGAAGATTCTTAATGCATTTAAATAATTATAAGGCAAAAAAAAAACATTTTGTAAAAAATATGAATATGTTTTCTTCTTGATTTAATTTTTTGCATTATAATTGAAATGAGTCGCACACATAATTTTGTCACACACTTTTTAGACGACCAATCGAGCGACACCTGCTCGACCATTTCTTTGGTTGAGTACAGCACTAATAGTATTTTACAATTATATTTTAACCATTGATGTCTCCTGATATATGCTTACGTTACCCTCTGGTCTCATGGTACTCATTGCCCTGATTGGAAACATTCGTATATATTTTATTTAAAAAGTGACCTATCAACAGAACTAAAAATTATACATAATAAGCACAGACAATGAAAATCCGAAATGAAACAGAAGAATAGTTACTTTTTACTTTAACACCAATTTACTGTGCAATCTGCTTTGATAAGATCTTAACTTAAATAAATCTGTGAGGAATTTTTTCAATATAGAATATACAAGAAGACAAAAATAAACCGTATTCAGTTGCTTTGGACAGGTGAGCTCATCTATGCTCGATGTGGGATTTAGGGGTAAATCCATAGGAGTCAACACTTTCTACATAATGTGTGTCCTAATCCTTGTACATTATCAAACCAAAACTGTCTGGTATTCTGTTAACAGAGTCTTGTGGCATCCTGGTAAACATCAACATCAAACTCCAAAAGCAAACGTTCGCCCTTGTATTCATCCCACAGTTCTATCAATGTTTAAGACTC